GTATATCTAAAATGTACCAATAAATGTTTTGCTTAAAAAAAATAAAATTACATTGACAATTTACATTATCCTAGTCAGAATGGCTAACTCAAGAATACAAACAATAAATGGATGTGGGGGGAAAAGGAATGTAAATTAGTACAGCCACTATGGAAATCAGTATGGAGGTTCCTCAAAACACTAAAAATAGAGCTACCATTTGATATAGCGATACTACTCCTTGGTATATGCCCAAAGCAATTAAAGTCAGCATACTATAATGATACCTGTATATCCATGCTTATTGCAACACAATTCACAATAGGCAAGATATGGAACCAACCTAGATGCCCATCAACAGATAAATGGATAAAAGAAAGTGTGGTTTATACACACAATGGAGTATTGTGCAGCCAAAAGGGAGAACAACATTTGCAAGAAAATAACTGGATCTGGAGACCATCATGTTGAACAAAATAAGCCAGCCAGACAAATATCACCCAGCATGGTGGTGCATACTTGTAATATTAGCACTCGGGATGCTGAGGGAGGAGGATCACTGTGAGTTCAAGGCCAGCCTGGGCTACATAGTAAGTTAGTTCAAGGCCAGCCTGAGCTACCTATCAAGACCCTGTCTCAAAACACCAAGAAGAGAAATAAAGACAAATATCACATGTTCTTCCTAATATTGAACCTAAAAATACTAATAATATTTGAATATTGAATCTAAAAAGATAACAGTAAAGTAGGAAGAAGTTTATTATGAGACAAGAGGAAGGGAGCAAGAAGGAAGCAGGGGTGGTAGGGTGGATAACATGGGGGAAGGTGGTTTGGTTTATATCTAGATGTTCCCCCAAAGCCTCATGTGCTCCTAGATGGGGCTTTTGTGAGTCGACTTGATCATGAGTATGTGATACTCATCACTGGATTAATCCACTGATAGGTTTAGAGCTGGGTGTGATGTTCAGAAGTGAAACCTGGTGAGAAGAGGTGGGTCATTGTGGGCGTGACCTGGACGGGTTTGTATCTGTTCTCCCTTGATTCCTCTCTGCTTCTTGCTGCCACATAATGAACTGTTTCTCCTCTGCCATGCTGCCCTGCTTTGGAGCCAGCCAACTATGGACTGAAAGATCTACAAAAATGTGAGCCAAAATAAACTTTTCCTCTTTTAAATTGTGGGTGTCAAATACTGTGTGTCAGCAATGAAGAAAGTAACTAAGGCATAAGGATATGAACAAAATATACACATGGAACTTGCCCCCAAATATGGAACCAGGGGTAATGGCAGGGCAAGGTGAGCAGGGGGGTGAAAATGATCAGTACCTATATCAATCTGCCAAGTCCCTTTCAGGTAAGAAATAATAATCATCTTGAATCAAATCGCTTTCCACTGCGCGTCTTCTGTGGGAGTGGGGGAAACGGGTTTGTGAAGACACAAGGGAGACAGAAGGAATTAACTTTTTTCCCCGAGCTATTGAGAAACGAACAGCCTAAGAAAATAGTGTCGGACAGGATGGGCTCCTCCCAAAGGAAGTCGAGAGCCGAGATGGGGGATGGGAATCCTGGCTTCTCCCGGAAGTCTGGGCTGAAGGCGTTCGGCCGGGCCCGTGGGGTCCGAAAAGCTGGATTGGGAAGGAGCTGGGGGCAGTGTCCGTGAAAAACTCAGACTTCCCGGGAGTCTAAACGGGTTGGGTTACGAGGGGTCTGGGGCTCAGGGACTGGGGGGTTGATGGGACGAGGGATCGCGAATTTGATGATTTCGGGCTTCCGCAGAGGTGTCGGGGTCTGACGAACGCTCTGGAAGCCCGGGCCGCACCTGAAGAGTACCGGGTGGTAGACGGTCCGCGGCGGCATGAAGATGACCTGCGGACCGAACCGTGTACTGATTTCCTGCCGGCGCTCGAGCTTGTCGCGCCGGAAGTCCGAGCCGCAGGTGGCAGCGGAACTGGTGGTCGCCTTGGCTGGGATCTCATAATCCGGGGGCAAGTCTAGGTCCCATTTGACCGAGGGCCTACATGACTGTGTGGTCGCGTCTTCCACACTACAGGACAGGTTGGAAACCGGAGCCAGCTTGGGAAGCGTAAGTGAGTGCAGGAGGACGCGGAGAGAATCCCAGAGGTCACCTCGGGGGGCGCTGTGCTTGTTTCTCGGGAGATACGTAAGGGGAGGGGCCTCGGAGGCTGCGGACGGACGCAGTAGAATTGTCCCTCGGTGGCCGCCTTGGTTTGACCAGGCGCGTCGTCGCCATGGAGACGGGATAGGCGGGCTGGAATAGTCCGTAGAGCGCTAAACTGACCCTTTCTCGTCAAAGCCGGCAGTGGCACTGGCGTGATCGTGGGGTGAGTAACCTCGTGACCTCAGCATTGCTGCGCCGCGGCTCAGAGGCTGCGATTTCTCTGAAGATCCAGTACAGCCTATTTCTCTCATGGAGGTGAAACCACTGCTATGGAAACCAAAGCGTTGGGCCGGTGGGGATTATGGCCCAGGGATCCTGACTGATCTCTCTCCCCCAAAGACCCTCTCGTGGGACTTCGCCGCACTGCTGCTACCTCAATGAACCCCTCTATCCTGCTCCAGGAGAAAGGTAGGATGGGGGCCTTGACACCAACTGGAAACCATTCCAGTGCCGAATCTCGGGAAACCTACCTGACTCACCCCTAGGAGTGACGCCCGCAAACCTGTGGACCTTGTTACTTTAGTAACCCAGAATTTAACCAACTATCCTCAGTGTTCGCTGACTTTCCCCACATACCAGTATTAGAGGCCAGAAGGAGCAGCTTTCGGACCTTTCTGTGTTACCTTGAACAGGACTTCTGTCTGTGGAGCACTTTCCACCTGTGACAGTGGTGGTGTTAATTTTCGACTCCAGTCCAACTAGGTTGCTTTGAAGATCAAATCAGAGGAGGGATGTCAAAGTCTTCATAGGCTGTCAAATGGTAAAACTGAGTCGTTGCTGAGTTGCTGTTTCACTGCCTCTTTGTCCCTCATGTGGAACTGTTCTCTAGCTCTGTATCATTTCTTAAGACAGTCTTTGCTACTCCATAGCCTCTAGCCCGAAAGAATCCTTGTTCCCTTAGGACCAACAACTCCTTGCATTTTAACTTCCCTGACAACAGCAAGAATTGTTACCCGTTTTAGAGGGCTTATTCTGGCCAGGCCCCACATTCAACAAACCCATTAGCTGATTATCTTGTTTAATCTTTACAACACCTTGTGTGGGTTTGTGTGTATTACTGGAGACTGAACCCAGGGCCTTCACACTGAGCTTTATCCTCAGTCCTTTTTTTAAATTTATTTTTTATTTTGGCACATGATCTTTCTAAGTTGACCCAACTGGGCTTGACATTTTGATCCTCCTGCCTCAGCCTCCCAGAATGCTAGTATTACAGGTGTCAACAACTATACGTGGTTTCACAACATCCTTTCAAGGTAAGCACTGTTATCTCTATTACTGTCAGAGGACAAAAATAACAATTTAAAGATCTTACTTAGGGCCAGGGATTTAGCTCAGTGGTTCCAGCACCTGCCTCACAAGTGCAAGGTCCTGAGTTCAATCCCCTGTACCCAAAAAAAAAAAGTTTTAAAGATCTTACCTGGCTTTATTATCCATTCTAAATCTGGCAACACTTCATGCTATAAAATACAAGTCACCCAGTGAGCCAAGCAAAAGAGGTTTATGATTTTTATGAACAGAAAAGGACTGAAGACTGAAACAAAAAGATTGGTCATTTTAAAGTTATTTTCCTTGGAAGGTGGAGACTGAACAATAAAACAATAAAAATAATTTATTTGGTTAACATCAAGTTACTTTAGGTTACCTGTACCGTGAAGATTAAGACAGGCAACTTCATTATGCCAGTTGAAACTGACCTGTTTGGGAAATTTGGTTGGTACTGGATTACTTGAAGGTCAGACAGACAGCTTGGTCTCCGGTTAGTGATTTGGAACTTTAGTGTGAGAGAATCTGTTTTGATTTTTTGTCTGATCTGTTTTGACTTAGTGTGAGTAAACAAGGACCTTGGGCTGGGCCTAGTGTGTGTGAGGCCCTGGGTTCCATCTCCAGCATGAATAGGGAAAGGTTAATAAACATGGGGAAGGGGTGTGCTCCCAGGACGTTTTCATTGAGGAAATGACTCAGTGTAAGATCCAAAGACTCCTCAGACTTCTACAGTCCTTTGCTGAGTGGAACAGATCAGTAACTGATAAGCTTAGGAAAGGGGGGCTCTAGGTTTAGAACACAGCAAAGACAAAGGCTGCCAGCCATAGAGGACAAACAACCATAAGGAACTATCAGTGGCTCAGTCTAGCTGAGGCCCTTCAGAAAATGGAGAAGCCTTGCCAGATGTGGTGGCTCACACCTGTAATCCCAGCACCCTGGAGGTTGAGGCAGGAGGATTGCCACAAGTTCCAGGGCAACCTGGGGCTACATGATGAGTTCAAGGCCAGCCTGAACTACATAGTGACTCTGTCTCGAAAAGAAAATGGAGAAGCCTAATAGGAGGCCAGAAAGATGGGTGGTAGTCAGGCCACTGATAATCTTTTTTTTTGAGACAGGGTTTTGCTATGTAGCCCAGCTGGCTTTGAACTCACGATGATCCTCCTGCCTCAGCCTCCCAAGTGCTGGGAATACAGATGTGCAGCACCATGCCCAGCTTTTCTCTTTTCTTTTTGTTTTTAGGCCACAGATAGTCTTGACAGCCAAACTAAGAACTGCAATTTTATCTTGACTGAGGGCAGCTTCTGATATATATTAAACAAAGGAACAAAGCTTTGGCTCCTCATTTGTGCCTGATGAAGACTGCCATTTGGCCTGGAGAGGTGCGATTTAAATCCAAATGTCCCTATTTCAGGGAGTGTACTGTTTTTGAAGCTTTGTTCAAGACTAGGAAAGTAGGGGTAGATGCTGAGATTTCCTAAAAGACAAGAGTCTGCCTCTCCCAGGGGTGTGTACCACAGCCCCGCTGCTATAAGCAGCATGGTGCTGGTGTAGAGAGGCTTCCTAAGGCCTCACTGCCTTTCTGCACTTTCCCCTCACTCCTGGGGTTGCTGTGGTGCTCATGCCAGCTTTCACAAAGCTTTTCGGCCTCCAGGAAGCTTCTAGCCACTCCCTCCCCCAGGCCTCTTTACAGTCAAGGTGCAGGAACATGTTTAACAATGTAGGACTTTGGTATTTGACCTCAGTTTTGCATGGGCTCATCCTGTCTCTTCAAAGAGATCATTCTTGGGGAGAGAAGAAGCAGGACCCTTCCTGGTTCTTATTCTGCCCTCCTCCAGTGACTCCCAGCACAGTGGCCTCTGGTCCGTGTCACTGGTTCAGAGTCTCATGATTTGGGCACACAGTCAGAAGACTGGAGGGAGACTATGCAAGTGGTTCTTACTTGGAAGAGCTGAGAGAAAGGGAAGAGTATTGAAAAGAGGAAAAAAGAGGGTTACTATTGTGAGCCTGAATGGAGACTCAGACTAGGTCAGAGTAAAATTGACCTAGGCAACTGGTTATTGGGAGAATGGGGTTGGCTCCAGCGAGATTGTGAGTTCCAGGCTCAGGGACCTACCCTTTGTCTGTAGGGAAGTGCACATTGACCTCCTGAGACTCATGCTTCTCACCAGAGAATCAGATTCTCTGGATTTGAAGAAGACCCCGGGTATCTGTGGGAGTTTCCTGAGTCATTCTGCAGTGATAGTCAGGACCACCTTGGAGAATCCTATAGGCTGATCCATTGTTTTCCAGAAGTCTCCTGGGCATGGCCTGCCAGCCCTCTGTCTTCTAAACATCCTCTCCTTCCTTGCAGCTTTCCATGGACACAGCCTAGAAAAGAGAAATAGGCCTCAGGTTTCACCAACTGCTGATCCACTGCCTTGATGACATCACTCACGCGTGCCTTCCCAACCCAGTTCCGGCAGCCCTCAGTCAGTGGCCTCTCCCAGGTTACCAGGAGCCTGTATATCAGCAGTGGGGCAGCTGCTAACAATAAGCTCCTGCTGTCCAGCAACCAGATCACCACAGTCATCAATGTCTCAGTGGAGGTAGTGAACACCTTCTATGAGAACATCCAGTACATGCAAGTGCCTGTGGCTGATGCACCTATCTCATGTCTCTATGACTTCTTTGACCCCATTGCTGACCACATCCATTCAGTGGAGATGAAAGAGGGCCGCACACTGCTGCATTGTGCTGCTGGCGTGAGCCGCTCAGCTGCCCTGTGTCTTGCCTACCTCATGAAGTACCATGCCATGTCCCTGCTAGATGCCCACACATGGACCAAGTCCTGCCGGCCCATCATCCGACCCAACAATGGCTTTTGGGAACAGCTTATCCACTATGAGTTCCAGCTGTTTGGCAAGAATACTGTGCACATGGTCCCTTCCTCAATGGGAGTGATCCCAGACATCTATGAGAAGGAGGTTCACTCGATGATTCCACTGTGAGCCACCCTGCCAACGCCCTCACTGGGATCAGCAGTATAGATTTGTTGTTGATCCTTTTCCAAGATCTGAACTTGAACACTATACTTTTGTTGATATAAGAACAAACTAGATGGTGCCTTTTGTAAGGGCAAGAAAAAAGAAAGGTTGCTACAGCTTTTAACCTTGTAATCCAAATCTTTAAAGACTAAACTCACTAATTGTAAGTGAAGATAAGTTTTCTACCCTGTGAGGGGTAAGTGATGGCTACTGGCCAGAGGTGGGGTGAGCCGAGTGATACTTTGGATGAAGAGATCAGAACCCAGTGCATAGAACAGGCCTAGAATCCTGCAGCCCACCGCAAGACTGACCAACCCAGAAAGGAGTCTGCCACAATCCCACCTCCTTCAGAGCCTTAAGCATCATGGCAAACCCTGAGCTTCTCAGGGTAAGTACTGATCTACTGGGTAAATGACTTCCAGCCATTTCCTGGAACCCTGTGGGCCTTGGGTGACTTCACATCAACCTTTATCACATTGGCCCCACTCAAGTTTTCTAGATAGGACTTAGAACATAGTATTCAAAGAAAGTATTCCACTGTATAAAATTCAGAAAAAAATTTTTTTTCCTGAGTGATACTGTATGGGGCAAGGTCTTAATGAGCCCATGGCAGTCCTCTACCAGTCTTTGAGGAAAGAAGGTGTTAATTTTCTTCTTTGGGGCTCACAAGGAAAGCAAGCCTGACATCAGACCTCAAAGGTTCCTCTCACAGGCGTTGGCTTGAAAAGTTGGAGCTGCAGACTGTGACCTAGCTCTGTCACCTTCTCTTCTTGTGACCTGGTGCATCTGGGAGCCTCAGTGTCCTCATCTGTGAAGACAGAACAATTCCATAGCACCATACCTAGTGCATGGTGCATGTTTAGTGTAAAGAAAAGCTTTTATACTGAATGGTATTCTGTTTGGCCCTGTTGCTCCCAGCTCAGCACAGTTATCCTCATGAAGACATTTCTCCTGAGCACAGCCCTATATTGTTTACAAAGTATTCTTCCAGAAAGCCACCCTCTTTGAGGCAAAAAATGGTTTCAATCCTACCTCAAAAGAGGTTTGAAGCCTTTTTAAAGTTCCCATTGTGTCTAATCCAGAGTGACCTAGGGGTTCTAAAGCAAGGGCATGATTCCAGCTCTCCCCAAAAGGCTTTGTTTAGAATTGCTGGCCTTTAGAGCCACTATTCCACTCTGACTCCCAGGATTCACAGAGGCATGTGTCAAAAGGACAATCAGTGGATGCCACCCATAGGCCCTGGAGCCCAGGATTGCTTCAGACCCCTCAGGGCCATCATCTGGTTTAAGACTAGCTATTCTAATCTAGAGCTTTTGAGATGACACACAAGACAAACAAGCACAAGAGCTTCACTCTACGATTTGACACTGAGCTGTGTGTCCAGAGGCCAGGTGCCCCTTCTCTTCAAACCTACCCACACCCTACTTTCATAAAGGGAGTGAGTGCCCAGGGGCCCAGGGTGGGGGAGTCAGGGGAGAGGAAGGAAAATCACTGTTCTAGGCCTGGTGTGGCAGAGCCACCACAGTATGATCATTCTGGTAGAGATCCAGGTAGAAAATTTCTTCGAAGGCATTTTTCAAAAGAACTTTAGTGGATATGTTTTTTCACTGTTTTAAATTCTAAATTAACATATTGTATAATTAACTTTTTGATGTGCTGTTCTATGAGGGTTTTTTTTTTTTTAATTCTGTGAGTTGTAAGTTTTGCACATGATGTAAATTCAGGACATGGAGTAGTTCTGCCATCCAAAATAGCCAGGCATGCTTCCCCACTGCAACCTCACATAGACAAGTATCCAGTCTCTATCCCTATAGCTTTGCCTTTTCCAGAATGTCACATAAATAATCATATGGAACATAACCTGTGGGTTGTCTACTTTCACTCCGTGTACTGTCTTTGAGATTCAGCTGTGCTGTGTTTATGGTATTTTGTATGGGTATAAAATTCACCCATTAAAGGATATTTGGATTGTTTCCGGTTTGAGGTGAATATGAATAAACCTATAAATAAATACAGCTTGTGAACATAAGTTTTCATTTCTGTGGGGTATATACCTCAAAGTGGGAGTCTGGTTGTGTGGTTTAAGGTAATTTATAAAAAATTGCCCGAGGGGCCGGGGATTTAGCTCAGTGGGACCACACCTGCCCGACAAGTGCAAGGTCCTGAGTTTGTTCCCTGGTACCAAAAAAAGAAAAAAATTGCCCAAGAGCACAGCATCTTCAAGGCATGTCCGTAATGCCAGCACTTGGGAGGCTGAAGCAGGAGGATGAGGCCACCACTGACTACATAGCAAGACCTTGTCTCAAAGGAAAAAGTTGCCAAACTTTCAGAGCAGCAATCTTTTATTCTTGCTGTGTTATATGAGAAATCTAGTCTTTTCTTCCCCTTCCTCCCTCCCTCTTTTTCTGTTCCTTGTCTTTACTTCACCTGTAAAGCATGTTGAACCCAGGGCCTTTGTGCTTAGCTATATCCCCAAACCCTTTTTAAAAAAATTGTTTTTTAAATCTTTAGCCAAGCTTGATGGCATATGCTTTTAATTGCAGAACTTTAATTCCTGAACTACATAGATCCTGTCTCAAAAAAAATTAATTAAATATTAAATAAAAAATTTAATTTTTAGAGAGGGTCTTGCTAAGTGCCTAAACTGCCCAAACTGGGCTTGAATTTGTAATCTTCCTGCCTTAGCTTCCCAGAGGGCTGAGATTTCAGGCATGAGTCACCCAACTCATCACCTTGTTCTTAACCTTAGAAAATTTATAGAATTCTTGGAGATGGGTATGGGGGCACATGCCAGTTTTTTGTTCTGGGTTGATTTTGGTTTTTGTTGGGTTTTTTTGGTACCAGGGATCGAACTCGGGTCCTTGCCCTTGCAAGGCAAGCGATGGAACCACTGAGCTAAATCCCCGGCCCGATTTTGGTTTTTGAGATAGCATCTCACTATGTGGTTCATGCTGGCCTTGAACTCACTATATATCCCAGGCTGGCCTCAAACTCCTAGCAATCCTGCCTCAGCCTCCTGGAGTCCAAGGATTACATTGTACATCAGTTCATGAACTTAATTTGCTCCACAGTTCTGATTGATCCTGAATCAAATTGGTCACAATCAAATTTCCCTAGAACATACCACTGATCCCAGCACAAAAGAGGTGAGCTGCGAGAGAGCCAGCAGCACCCCTACACACATCTGTCAAAATGAGAAGACACGTAAACAAGCTTCAAAACCGGACTTCCAGATCACCTACAGCAACCCCAAAGGGAACCAAGATGGAACATTGACACTCAACCACCTGGACTCCTTGAACTGGCAAAAAAAGAGGATCTGGAAAAAATGAAATCAGAAATAATTTTTCAGATAATAGCAGAGATTGTGCCCATAGTGCAAGATGTGATTAATAAATCTAGAGAGGACACATAAAAAAAATGGAGGAGCTGAGGAACATGATGGACTCCCAACATAGGAAACATGGAATCCATAAAACAGATGCAAACAGATTTCCAGGAGATTAAAAACTCCATTGAAAGTCTACACAACAGAATGAGCCAATGTGAGAACAGAATTTCAGACATAGAAGATAAGATTGCAATTAGTAACCAGGAAAAGAAAAATTGCTTTAAAATTATAAGTGATCATGAGATATCAATCCAGTAGCTGCTAGATGATGCAAAGAAGGATAACATAAGACTGATCAGAGTCAATGAAGAAACAGGAGAGAGTGCAGATGACATAAAAAAATGTTCACAGAAATAATGGCAAAAAACTTCCCAAGCAGGGGAAAAGAATGTGACATACAGATGAGTGAGGCATATAGAACTCCAAACAGCCTGATCAAAAAACAAAATTCTACACATAGGCAAATAATTGTTAAGATTCCAGAAACTCAACAGAAGAACAAA